TTTAATAAATAGAGAAGAATTGCAAATGACTCAGTTCAAGTGAGATTCATTTTATGACAATACCACATAGTTTATATTCGGTTTTGTTCTGTCTCTATCAGTCCAATGATACACAACTTCTTCACGTGTTTTATGCGATTTAGCCATTGTATTGCCTTGATTTGGTACTCTGATTAATAAATTTCTTGTAAAATTGTCTTGTTTGTTTTGAACATGATAGGTTATGCGTAATTTAGGCCAGTTCAACACTTTATTCCATTGAATAATAAAATGACACGTGAATTCTAAATTCATTATTCGAATTAATTCATATGGAGCTTTAGAAACACGTATAGCACTCTTGGGATATTCGGGATTAATATCAAATGAAACGCTATCAATCACATTGGTCGTTTTACATTTCACATATGCGGTGTATTCGTAGCGTTGACTGGATGATGATGATAATTTACAAGAATTTCCAAATTGTATTATTATATGCTTTTCATTATCTGAAGAGAAAGGTAAAGAATATAATGATAGCTGTGCGGAAGGAACATTAAGTTTCGTAGCACAACCAACAACCGGGCATTCGTATGAATTAAGCTTTATTGTCTCACAACAGCATGAATAACATAATAAATGACGACAATCGGGTAATCGAAGTGATTTAGGCATATCACTGCCACTAATGTGTTGGTTACATAAATCGCATTGTGTTTGGGCTAATTCTGTAGCTAGTCTTAGCGCTTTACTTTCGTCATCTTCGATCCTTTCAGGTTCAATTTTTTCAACGAACAAATCGTCATTTTGAACACTTTGGTTTTCATATGCTGATAAAATTGATTCTAATTCTTTCTTTGAATTTTTATAAACTGGCTCACGATTATATGATGATAAATAACAGATTACACCGCCTGCTATAAATACACAAGCAGGAAGAGAAGGAAGAGGAATCTTCGAAGATGCTGTTAATTGTAAAGATAAAGCATTTGTTGTATTATTGTTTACGTCATATTCATTGAATAATTGTAACAACTTTAAATGTGCATATTGTTCTAACCACTTTGGTTGTTTTGAACTTGCATATTCATAATAATGATTATTTGGTATATACTTCTTAACTAATCTGCCAACGCTAACAGGATGGCCATCATCATCTGTATCGTACATTAATAATGTAGGCTGTTTTATACACACAAAACGTTGAGGATCGTGTGAAACAGGATTTTGCACAGCTAAAAATGATGACATAGCGGGTTTTTCGACTAATGCATTGAATACAGCAGCTGCTCCTTGAGAAGAACCAATCAGGCAATATACTTTATGTGTTTTTGGTGAAATACAATCAATTATTTCTTGAATAAAAGCGCCAGGATAAGAACGAATTGTTTGTTTATCACCATCTGAACGACCATAACCTGGACAATCTATAGCTACAAAATAATAGGGAGACAGCGAAGACGACGATGACGTTGCTAATAATAGCCTTCTTACAAGATCGTTCCAATACATTGAAGAATTTGCAGGGCCAGAACCATGTATAAGTAATATACATTGCTGTTGTTCATCATACCTATGTCCTGCTAATCGAGCAAATATTTTCCCATAAGAA